AGGCTATTATAAGAAAGGAAAGCAAATATGAGATGACTGAGAGAAAAATGATTTTGAGAGAATAGATGGAGGAGCAATAAAAACAGTAGGGAATAGGAACAAGGCAAAGAGAGAAGGTAAAATTTACATTGTAAATAAAAAAGGGAGGGAAAAAGGAGAAATGGAGTAAGAGAAGGGAAGCAGAGTTGGTTCCTTTCCAGCTCCAGTGTTGTAGACTTAGAAGCCTAGCTTGGGGTTTTGACTCCAAACTTTTTGGGGCACTAAGCTATAGCGTGTGGGAGGTCAGCCAGCCCTCTTGTGTGTCCTCCATACTCCGTACCAGTCATGTTGTGGTGAAGTGGTTTCTTTGGTCTGCCTGGCTTCTCTCCAGCTATTATTCACTTGGTTATTCTGGATATTTTCTCTACCGTTTAGTTGTAAATCCAGGTTGGTCCTGGAGATTAGTGTAGCTTCCACTTACTCCTCTACCATGTTGGATCACCAGTAAATATATTTAAAAAATGATTTTAAATGGACTGTGATTTTCACAAGGAACAAAATGCTGGAGGCAGTTCTTTACTGAAGGAGGCCACAGAGACAAGATGAGCCAGTGAAGTCAGTATGTTACCCTGAATTACTCCCTGGTCGAAAACAAAAACAATGTAAAGGATTTTACTGGTACAGTGGAAGAAAATTAAAAATGGACCAAATATTTGACAGTATTGTACTAATGTAAATTACAAGGGTAAGAACCAGTCTTGTGGTTACATAGCACAAGAGTTTTATTTTTAAGAGAGTACATACTAAAGCACTTAGCAATGAGAGTCACAAATTCTACAGCTTCTTTTTAAAATTTAAAAATACTTTAAATATTGTGCAGGTCAAATACAACAAAATGTTAACATTTGGTAAATCTAAGGATGTGAGTGACCTTTCAACTCTTTGGCAGGATAATTTTTTGTAAAAAAAAAATGAGGGAACAAAGAGAAATAACCCTTTGAAGACAGGTGGAACTTCTTGACTCTCTGTAGCCGACTGGTGTGGACTGGGCCCTGAGTGGTCAGTACTTAAAGATGAGAAGAGAGACGGGGACAGTCACTGCCCAGGAAGATGAGGGCAGTGACAGAGGTAGGAACTGGTTCTGGGGAAACCCAAAGGGGAAGTACTTGACCTGTGAGTCACTAAGGAAGTCTCAGGGGGAAATGTGTTTCCAGGAGATAAATATCGAGGCAGCCCCAAGGAAATGCTAAAGGGCCTGGCTTTGTCATCTGTAGGTAAATCCTGAGAGCAGATTCTGGCACGACCCAGCCTTCTCCTACCTGGCGAGCCGAGCGGCCAGGGAAGGAGAAGAAAGCAGAATGAGTTTGCCAGACTGTGAGCTGAGGGGCCCGGAACTGACTCTCCCTGGGACACAGGCAACTTGGAGGCCTTGGCGGGCTGGATCCTCTCCTCTGTGGAAGCAGGCAGTTGTGGGCATTGGTGCAGCCAATGAAAAGGAAAGGAAAGTAAGAAAGCAGGCCTGGCACAGCTGGCTGAGCGCATTAGAGCTCTCGACTCTGGCGCTGTATACAATTGGTGACGTAAGGTAGTGTTTGTCATTGTTCGTTTTTGTGTTCTTGTGATGAAGCTGATATTCCTAGAAATTCATAGGAGATTCCAACGCAGGTATCATGGTCAGGAGCTGGTCCCTAGCATCGAATCACCCCCAGGCCTGGAGTGGAGGGGTTGTGTCCCACCCAGATGCCCTTGCCCAGCTGGCTTGGCCTGACAACACCTCACAGCTGCCTGTTCCCTGGAGAATCGACCGCATCCAGTGGGAGCCACTAGCCACACACTCACCACTCCCTCCACTCAGGGGCAGACCTTGGCCAATGGCTGATGGAGTGGGGGTGTGAAAGGGTGGTGTTCTTTCACGGCTGCTCCAACTGTGTGGTGCCGTGTGTGGGACTGAACTTAGCGTCCCTGTTCTCCCCACCTGTTTCCCTCACTCCCCTTCCTTGAAAACACTCCCTCAGAAAAGCACTTGATGAGGAAGCTCTGTCCCAGGCTCTGCTCCTAGGACATTTATCTCAAGGAAAGCACTTCCTAGCTGTGTGTCGTGTATTAGAAATTCTAGTTCCTACAACAAATACATCTTCAAATTAAAATCTGTGGTTTAATATCATAGATATTTCTTTTTCACTTGCAACATGTCTACTTGGTGGAATATTTTGGGGGAGGGAGGTGTCCTCTGCTCTACTCATACTTTGAGAGACTGAGATGGATGGAGATGGTGACTTCTTCTGAGTGTGGCTCTAAGGTCACCCTTGACAACCAGTCAGAGGTGGGAAGAAGGCACTCCTGCTTCTTAATCTCTCAGGATGGGAAGTGACACCAGTCATTTCTGCTCACGTTCTATTGGTAGAAACTAGTCACATGGTCAGCCTACAGGCAAGGGTGGCTGGGAAGTGTAGTTCTTACCTGGCCAGTTATCACTCACTAAGAGCTCTACACCCTGAAGGAAGCAACGATCTTTGGTGGGTAGTTAACTCTGCCACACTTTGTGAATTTGAACAAGTTATTTTACTTTTCTGGAATGTAGTTTCTTTACATATATGACTGGACAGTTATTAGGATCCCCCTCATAGTTGTAGGTAGGAATCAATGAGTTGAAACATACAAAGTGCTTGGACTACAGCTTGGACAGAGTAAGGGCTCATAATATTAGCTATTTTTGTCATGTGTTGTGAATCCACTTTGGATTATATAGAGATTATCCTCCAGCCATGACATGCAGATAATCGTTACACTGACCTCACAGAGGAGGAGGATGAAGTTAGAGATGGGAAGTGAAAGCCCTGAGACTCCATAGTTAGGGGGCAGCAGAATCAGGCCAGGTAGCCAACAGAACTTTACACCAGGGACTGTCAGATGTTTTGCCAAACAGTCTCACACCCAGGCTTTGCACTACCATTTGAATAATGCAGGGTTTCTAGGTAAGTTGCTTCAATTTCCTGACTTTGCCTATCTGGTCAGGCCCCTGCCAACCTTTTCACTCCTGTGTTCTATCAGGGCTCCTTTACCCGCGGCAGCCCAGGCCTGCTTTCTTTCTAACCCTCACAAAAGCCAAGCTTTATCCCACCTCAGGGCCTTTACAAACGCTCTCCCCTCTGCCTGGAACACTCTTCCCACCTGTCTTTCCATGGCAGGCTCTTTCTTTTTAACTGTGCCCTCAGCTCAGTGGTCACCTCCTCTGGGAGGCCTTTCCTGCTACCCGTTCATTCACTTACTGTCACATCACCTGTCCCTCACCCAGCACCGCCTAAGATTGTTTTGTGCTCATGTGTTTGTTTCATGTCTGTCTCTCTTGCTAGGCTGTGAGCTCAACAAAATCAGAGGGGCCCTTATTCTTGTTGCTCTTCTTGTGTCCCCTGCAGTGAAGACAGTGCCTGGCACAGAGTTCAGCTTTAGTGAATATCTGTTTACTAAAACAAGATCTTTAATGGGTGACCTGTGACCCTATGTGCTCCTTTGCTCACCTTCTTCCCCTCTTCCTGCAGGTAGCCTGCTTCAGGCCACGCACAACTTCAGAGGGCGCCTTTCACACAGCAAATCTGTGAATCGTTGGGAAGGGCGCAGTGTTTCAGAAGTGCACAGTCTATACGAGAGGGCCATCTTTTGTTCCCATTCATTCATTCATTCATTCAGTAAATATCTACTGAGCACCCACAATATGCCAAGGTAGTTGTGCAGCCTCTGTGGGAGATAAGAGAAACACCTGTGTCTATGTGGCACAACTGAAAGTCGTAAACAAAATAAATAGAAAATATAAAAATGTCAAAAATACAAACACCATTGTGAGTTACACATTCACTTCTCTTTCTCCTCTACTGTTGTTCTAGCCTTAACTTTTTCCCTTTGCAGTCTCTGCATTCCCTGACCTAAGCTCCATACCCTTTCCCATCTCCCTCCTACCCAGTGGGCTAGAAGTGATTTGTGTACTCCTGCAAAGCCTCTTTTTAGATATTCAGGATTTGGCAAGCTTGTTGTTAAACTGGCTTCAAAATCAGAAGTGGCAGGAGTATTTGCACCACAATAATAGGGCAACGTTATGAGGCAGGGTTTGCTGAGCTGTTTTTCTGAAAAGCTTGTTTTCTAGCACACTGCTGTTCCCATCTATTTCTAGCAGAGAAAATTTGTTTTTGTCAAGGAATATGCTGGTTCTTCCCTAGCTGTTAACTCTTCCCTGCCATTCCTCAGCTCCCTCCCAGGTGGCATGAACTGAAACCCTAAACCCGTGTTGTGCTAGGAGGGGAGAGGACAGAAGAAGAAAAAGAATCTGAATCAGAATCAGCAGGAAGAGAAGAAAAAGCATGAGGAAGGTCATGAAAGGGGGAATAAAAAGGAAAGTTGTACTGGAAGGAAAGAGAAAGAAAAGAGAGGTATAAGTTTGTGGGGAGCAGAAGTTAAGGTAGAAAAACCATGGAGACCAGCTAAGACCCCCCACAAATATCCTCAAAGCAATTGGGCCCCACCTGGGGCCAAAAGCTGGCCAAGTTGCCATGAGAAATGAGGGAACTACCTTCATAAACCATCTGGGAGAATGTGGGGGTGGGGACGTGCAAAGTTGGGTTCAGGAGGAGAGGGCTGGGGGCCTGGACCAATGGAAGCTGGGTTTTGGGTGCCACAATATTTATCTGCTGAGGGTCTGGGGTGGACTTCTGAGTCTGAGGGAGGAGGAAGGACTCAGGTTTCTCAACCTTTAAGCTGGTGAGAATCAGAGGCTAGGCCCAGGCCTCCTTCAGCAAGGCCCTCTGCTCCCCACCCTTCCCCGGCTGCCTGGGTGAGGAGAGGTATAAAGGGGCTCAGTCTCCTGGGAGAAAGAGCAGGAGCGAGCAGTTGCTGCTGCCTTGACCATGAGCCCAGCCCTGCTGCCAGCCCTCCTGGGCCTCACCCTGGTGCTGCCCTGTGAGTGCAGACCCCGCATTGAGGGGGGATTTCCTGGGAGGGTGGGCTAAGGTGGTTTGTTACTCTCATCTTAGGAACAGTCCCCCTGACCTGTCAATCAGGAAGACTGGTGTCTGTGAGGAATGCAACAGAACTGCCCTTGGAGTGGAATGCCGGCAAGGAGGACTGCGGGGAGGGCTGGGGCTGCCAAGACACGCTGATGCTCCTTGAGAATGGTGAGGGGGGCCCCACAGACCCCAAGCGTGACCGCCACCCTCACCTGTGCAGGCATCGTCCTCCTCCTGACCCGTCCTGCCTGCCTTCTGTGTGGAGACTCAGGAGACCCCCTCCCTCCTACCAGGAGCTGTCCCCGCCTCCACAGGAGGATCCCCCGGGAGCCCAGGCACCTCCTCCCCAGCTCCCACCCCATCCACAGACCCTCCCTCTAGACCCTGGAGTCCTGATCCTCACCCGGCCCCTCCTCTGTCATCCAGGACCCCAGGTGCTCCTAGTGCTCACCAAGGGCTGTACCCAGGAGGAAGATCATGAGGCCCGTATCACCCAGCACCGGGAAGGCCCTGGTTTGTCCATTGTCTCCTACACCCGTGTGTGTCGCCATGAGGACCTCTGCAATGACCTCCCGAACACTGTCCCGCTCTGGGCCCTGCCCCCCACTGCAGGTGAGACAAAGAGGGAGAGGAGGAGGAGGAGAGAAGAGGAGCTGCAGGGAGGAGGGGAGCAGAGGTGGACTGTTCCCTTAGACCTCACCCTGCCACCTGGCCTGTGCCCACTCCCCAGGACTCCCTCCTCTGGCACAGCTTCCTCTCACAGGTCTGGGCAGCCCCCAGGACTGCACCTCCGACTCTGGCGATGGCCGGGACCTGGGCCACGCTCCCTTGTCTGTGTTGTTGGGCTTGGTTCACTCGTGTTCATTTAGGATTTTGGTATTTCTACTTCCAAAGTGAACTTGGCCTGGAACTTTTCACTGTCCTTATCTGTATCATAAAGTGGGTTTAGGGAGATGCTCTGTCTTTCGCTGATCTTTGCGGCATGCGGTCAGCTTGGATTGTGTAGTGGGAATTGTGGGTGAACTCTGCCTTGGTTCCTCCCAGTGCACCCCGCCCCCCGTTATCACTCCTCAGTGCTACTCCCAGATATCATGCCCCTCAACCTTTCTCTCTCCCCATGCACATGATCCTAATATCCTGCACCCAGGCCGACAGGAGAGAAACATGAGCAGGGCTAGTCCAGGGAGACCGAGGAGGTTGATTGAGGGGACCAGGAAAAGAGGGTGGGTAGAAGGCACCAGATCCAAATGCAGCAGCAGCTCAGTCTTCTCTTCCTCCTTATCACCACCCAGGCCCGGGGACTGTGCGGTGCCCATTATGCTTGTCTACGGAAGGCTGTGAGTCTGCAACAGAGGTGACCTGCCCCGTCGGGCACACGCACTGCTACAACGGGATCCTGAAGCTCAGGGGAGGTGAGCTGGGACATCGGGTCCCTGCCGGCGCTGAAGGCAGGGAGGGTAGCTGACACCTGGGGTGCAGAGGAGGGTGGGTCTGGCTCCTCAGGGTTGGATACTCCCAGCAGTGGCATCTCACCCTCTTTCTTACTCTGCCTGGCCCCTCCCCACAGGGGGCATCAACGCCAAACTGAGAGTCCAAGGATGCATGTCCCAAGCAGCCTGCAACCTCCTTAATGAGACTCAAAAAATTGGGCCCTTGTCTGCGAGTGAAAAATGTCCTACTAAAGGTGAGGCCCATACCCAGAAGATGAAGTTGTGTCCTGCCCACCACCTTGGGGTACCATGACCCAAGAAAGTTGGACGTTCAACACTTCCCACCAATGTTAGCACCCTTATGCAATTTAGAAGCTTATCTCTCACTCAGGCATGTGCAAAATGTGGGATTGTCCTGGTATGAGGATGCTTTGGGATGAGGATGCTGGTAGGAGTTGTTCAACAGAAAGGGAGAGAGAGGGCACATGGTACAGGGGATGTGGAGGGGATGGGGCCCACTGAGGGTGTGACACTGGGACTGGCCAAATAATTGAGGTCAGACTGCCCACATGGAAGGGAGTGGGGAGCGGGGGAAAGGTCAAGTGTCACACAGGGCTGGATGGTTTGCATTCTGCTTTATTCATTGGATGCGGAAGTGAATGTGAGTGCCTGGCTCTCACGCTGGGAGAGACTCATTGCTTTCAGCTCTATCTCCCCACACTCTTGAGCTGGGGCAGCCCTGGGTCTCTCTCCTCTTCTCAATCAGCCTACCCAGCACACCGTCACCATTCCCAACCCCCAGTTCTAGAACAACCCAGCAACCATGCTGTATAGGAAGGAAGGTCAGAGAGAAAACTTAGGGTGCTTCAGGTGTGACTGGGACAGCAGGAGCCAAGCAGGGACATTGTGGGGGTGTCCCCACTCACCCACACAAATGCAGCCTGACCGTGCACTGGGCAGACTCACTATGGGCTGGAGTGTCTCAGTGAGAAGCACAGGAGGCTGGGAGGGGACTGGGGACTTAGCAGAGCGGGAAGAGGGCCTTCCTGTCCGAACCTCAGTTTCCTCATCCGCCCACAGCACCCAGCCCTTAAGCCTTCCAGGGGAATGTTGAGTGGATTCAGCAGAGTCCTCCGTGCTGGGACCCCTCCGGCGAGGCTGGGAGCCTTAGGCACAGGGCCTGGGTGTCACCGACACCAAGGTTTCCCGCCTGAGGCAACAGGAGGGCCAGCTCAGGACGAGAAGTGCAGGATCCCGAGGTCTCCCTCGGAGGCTGCAGAGGACTTCGGCCCTGGCCCTGCCCTCAAGGGCCTCCAGGACGGGGAGCTGAGACATCGCAGAGGCAGATGGTCACAGGGCTGTGGGGAGGGGGGTTGGGGCGCTCCGAGGGGGAGAAGAGTAATGTCCCAAGGGTGGGGCACCGAGGAGGGCTTCACAGGGGAGGTGACCTATGCGCCGAGTCTTAAAGATTAGCTGCAGTTTATTAGCAGAAGAGGAAGAGGATGTGAACAAGCAGAGGAGGCAGCATGTGCAAAGGCCCGGCCCTGGGAATAAGCGTCCTGTTTTCAGACAGGGCTCCCCGGCTCCGCCTGAGAAGGTCTCGTCAAGAGGACGGGTGCTGCTGGGCCTGGGGAGTGATTGCCAGTTTTCAGGTGGACAAGGTGGGTGTGGGTGACCTCAGCAGAGCTATTCCAGCAGCAGGATCAGGGGTGCAAGGCCAGGGAGGCCGGGCATGGCCTGGCGTGTGTTGGGATGGGTGTTGGTGCGGGAGTGGGCAGGGAGGCTGGGGGCTGGGAGCTGGGGGCATGGAGCAGCCACAAAGCCAGACTGAAGGGTTGGCCTTTCTCCTGGGGCAACGGAGGCTTGGGAAGGTACTGACCATGGAGGGACAGTGTGAGTCCCTCCTTTTGGTTGATTCTGTTTTATTGTCTGGCCCTCATCCCTGGGACTACGTCACATTCATAATCCAGAAGGCGTTCCTGAAACAAATCCAGTGTAATCCACGCAACATTCCATACCACACAGACACACAGCACACAATTGACAAAATAGACAGAACCAGACTCACCATGCTACATGCATTCCACACCACCACATATTACATTTCCCACATATGCCCCTTACACCTAACACACACCACAAACCTCATATACTACAATAATAAACAACACAAAAAATGACACAACATACCACATGCCAACTACACCACATGTAAACCAAACACGGACACACAAAACTGATACCATGCCACACTCGTGTAATACATGTAACACACACAGAATACACACATACCACACTTCGCATACAAGCAACACTGCACACACCTCACAAACATATCATATACACGCCTCACGCCTCGCACACCCACACACATACACTTTCCCATACACATGACATACGTGCCACATAAAACACAGGGACTGTGCCACAAATGAATAGTCCTAAGACATAAACTTATGGTGTTAGCTTTCAACATTGGAGTCAGATCCTGGGAGATGCGTTTGCCTTCCCGTGTATGGTTTGGTTCAATTCAGCAGTTTACCAAACACTTACTGGGCCATGGCAAGAACAGACGTCAGAAGCTGGGGCACAAGATGTCACGGAGACAGAAGGCCATTCCTGGGTGACAGACAGGCAGCTCCTGTGAAGGCCTGGGGCTGGGAGTGAGCTGGGTGCCAGAGCACAGGTGCCCAAAACAGGCCACAGCAGGAGCCCCTTGAAGGAGAACCGAAGGGCTGGAACGAGAGCGGCCTTCCCTGGCCCCCTGAGGAACTGGGCCGTGGTGCCAGTGAGGGCGGTGGGTCGGCACAGGCAGGGGAGCGCCGCGGCTAAGAGCCAAGATCTCAGTCAGGGAGATGTGGTCCCTCTCTGGGCTGTGCCCCTGAACCATTTTGGAGAATCCGCTCATGTAGGAGCCTCTTTCAGCAAACCCAAGGAGGGGTGGATGATTCCAGACAGTCGGGAGCAGAGGAGCACATGGGACGGCCGTGGGGCGGGCGGGGGCCTGCTGGGTGTTCCAGGCAGAGCCTAGAGGCCAGTGCAGCTCCAGAAGTGTGCTCAATAGAGAGCAGAGCAGGACATGTGGTTGGAGAGATAGGGCTTTGGGGCCATTTTAAGGACATAAAATTTTGTTCTGAGGAGTGTGGGGACCTATCAGAATTTTCTGAGCAGAGGAGTCACACAGGAATGACCTTACACTTTATGGGTATTCTAAGGCTGCTGAGTGAGAAAGAGAGTAAGTGAGAGGTGGGAGAGGGATAGGGGACCCCCAGGGGACTCAGGATGAAGGAGGTCAGAGTCATCGGGTCTTGGACGCTGGTGGAGTCAGCAGAAGTGGTAGGAATGGCCAGGTTCTGGAGGTGTTCCGCGTCTTGAGCCAACAGGATATCCTGATGGGTGCAACACTGGACGTAAGAGATGGAGATTGTTAAGAATGACAGCAATGCTCTCAACTTGAGCAACTGCGAGACAGGAGCTGCTGTTGACCAACATGGGGGTAGGGAAGCGTCACCCAGGCTGGGAGGAGGGCAGCAGGAGGCTTGAAGCTGTGGTGTATGAAGGGGGAAATGAGCCGTCCTCCTTCATGAGGCTGCCGTGCAGGTTACACTTGTTGGGGGACGCTGTGTCATCAGCCCGGAGACCTGCATGATGGTGATGCCTTGGCTTTGAGTGAAGGCCTAGGCTCCTGAGTTTCAGACTGGACTCCCGAGGACCTCAGAGGCCAAATTAGATGAGCATGGTCACCAATTGCTGCCTTTCCCATCCCTGTCCCCAAGGAGCTCAGCTCGGCTAGTTATTAGTGGTGGGACACTGGAAAATCTACTTCACCACTCCTCTGCCCCTGTTTTCCATCCTGAAAACTAGGAGGAGGAGGAAAATCAGACCACCTACTTTGGTGCTCACCATAAGACAACGAGGTAACCCAGAGGAGAGAGCTCCTTGGGAAGATTAAATGGGTGAATCCATGGAAAGCAGTCACCACAGCTGGGCACACAGTGAATGCTCAGCACACACACTAGGAGTTGGAGGAACTTTGGTTGGAACAGTTAGTGATCTGCTCTGATGTAGTTTGTGTTGATAATAATGGATTCTCCAAGTATGGTGATAGGACAATATGTGCAAGGAAATGGAAGGGTCTCCATCAAAGATGGGGACTAAAATCTTGATAAGGCCTCAATGGTTTACACCAAAGATTACTTAGGAATTGGCCAAATACAATGAAGTGACATACAATCCCAATACAAGCCACTGGGAAAGATGAAACATTGCTCATGTAGGTTATTGTCAAAAACAATTTAAATGATACCCTTCATATGGAAACACACAAACCCTGTTGTTGGATATTCCAGAAGTGAAGTGGAATGTGGCTCTTGCTGGTGTGGCTTAGTTGGTTCAAGCATCACCTTGAATACCAAGCAGTTGGAGGTTTGATTCCCAGCCATAGCTCATACCTAGACTGTAGATTCCATCTGGAGTCAGGGCGTGTATGGGAGGCAGCCAATTGATGTTTCTCTCTATCTTGTTGTTTCTCTCCCTCTCTCTTCCTCTGTCTCTAAAATCAGAACAATATATGTACAAAATCATTGTTCTATTATACTTGTCCCAGTTTCCAGCCTTAGTTCTCCCCTGCCCTGCCAACTCTCTGCTCCCAATTAATCCCCAAAATGTTGTCAATGTCCATGTGTCATTTATACCTATTCTTTGACTACAGCCTTTCTCTTCTTTCTTCCTTTGGCCCCAGCCTCTGGCCCCTGTCAGTCTGTTCCTTGTTTCCATGACTCTGGTTCTATTTTGCTCATTTGTTTGTTTTGTTCATTAGTTTCCTTTATTGTTGAAATCACATAGGATTTGTCTTTCACCACCTGGCTTTTTTCACTTAGCATAATACTCTCCAGCTCCATCTGTACTGTGGGGAAAGGCAGAAGTTCCTTCTATCTTTCTGCTGCGTAGTGTTCCATTGTGTAAATGTACCATATTTTTTTGACCCCCTCACTTCCTGATGGGCCCTTAGGCTGTTTCCAGCACTTGGCTATTGTGAATAACCCTGCTATGAACAGAGGTGTTCATAGGTTCTTTTGAATTGGTGTTTCAGGGTTCTTCGGATATAATTCTAGCAGTGGAATCGCTGGGTCAAAAGGCAATTCTATTTTTAGTTTTTTGAGGAAATTCCAAACTGTCCATAGTGGTTGCACCAGTCTCTATTCCCACCAATGGTGTGCTAGGGTTCCCTTTTCTCCACATCCTCTCTGGGATG